AAAAAAAATAGCTAGCCAATACACGTGCATATTCTGCAGTCTGAGCAATCCCCTTTACAACTTGGAACAAAAACAACAGCAAAAAAAAAAAAAAAAAAAAAAAACATCTCTATTTTCTATACAGCAATAATACTGTAATTAAAGAATAAGAATGGGAACGAAAAAGGAAAGGAAAATTCTTAATATGTTACATAAAAACTATGGAGTCACACGTATGCACTTATGGTATGATTTAAAAAATAAAAAAATAGGGAGTAAAAAAATTACTAAAAAAATTAAAACAAAACCATAACTGCAATAGGAAAACCATAGGATAAACTTCGGTCAAAAAAAAAAAAAAAGAAAAAAGAAAAAAAGGCGCAAAAGGGACACAACGGTGTGTTTTCCTCATGTACACGCTCTGTACACTTTATGCGTTCCGCGCCTTGTCATTTCGTACACATTCATCCGAGAACGTGTTCTGTAGATGTGGAGTGGCTTTTGTGCGGACGGTTCTCTCTTCAAAATTCTCATTAAAAGGAGAGAGAGAGAGAGAAAAAAAAAAAAAATGACAAAGTGTTAAAAAAATAAAGATGGCAACAGTAGCCATAGCATCCATAGCAGCAATGGAAGCGATGTTAATAGTGCTCAAGGGATGGGTCATACGGTGTAAACGCACACCGCGCGCACGGTTGGCGAAGCTCCTATGGGACAAATAGACGGTGCACATATTACAATTACATACACTTGCAACATGTTAGTGGTTATGCATTCCTGTCGTCTGATCCGAGGGATGGGTCCAAACATGTCTAATGCCACAATGTCTTCCGTCGAAGTATCCCTGGGCGTATTTTTGCCAAGGGTTCAAAAGGGCTGCCATTTGCTAGACTTGACGATAGAGAACGCATGTGTGATGTTTCGTTCATCTACCCATGCACAAATCCACCCATCCATCCAATACCTCTTCTCCTCCATTCTTTGCCCCACCTCGCGTGCCGCACAAATCACACATTTTGCAACGAGTTGCAACTCTTCGGCACCGAGGTGCTCAAAACAACGCCGCTGCTCTCGGGGGGAAGGGACGCCATGGGCTTAATAGACGTACATGTGGCCGCTGATGGGTTACATGTGCTGTTAAAAAAATAATAAAAGAGCTCATGCTCAGCTATCAACTTTTGACATGACGGTTCGGATAAAAACTTCAATGACTTAAAAATACAAGAAGAATACTGATTCAGTTGTGAAATAAAAAAGCAAGCGTTTCTCTCATCATTTCCATCACCCACTGAGTAAATGAAACATATAACTGAGTTGTTGCACAGGTAGGGGGCTAAAATTTCATTAATGATTTGATGAAATATAACTTTCTTCCAATCCTTAGGATCAATTAAAGAATTAATTAATCTGTCCCTTGCGGATATAATTCTTATATTGTTGAGAATAATGTATGACCATACTAATGGAATAAACTTACGCGCTGAGTTAATTAACCACTCTAAGCTTGCATTAGTGACTATGACCAATTTTCCTTGTGTCAAACATAGACTCAACGTTTTAATTACAACTTCACTTAACTTAAAAAAGAATTGTCTTACGGATGCTGGGATGTTGTCATTCAACCCTAGCTTCATCTTTACAGTTATCCAGCTAGTTGGCAATATGGTATCATCATAATCAAAAACGATTAACTTCTTGTATATGTACGGTTTGTTATGTGCTCTGTTTTCTACTCGCATTATTTGGGCGTTGCTCGATCTGGTAATATGTTGTTCGCAACAGTTTACGCCTGCTGTGTATACGTGACTGTTTTCATTGTGTGCATTTCTCATTTCATTTATCTGCAAATTGCCCAAGTAGTTGTCGTAATTGATTTGGCCTCCCCCGATTTGAAAGTTTCTCATGTTCTCCATTTCGGTCCCTTTTTGTCGTCTCTTTCAAAAAAAAATTTTGTTCACTCGGAAAGGTGCGCGTATGTGCGTGTGCTGGCGCCTTTGTAAAGGAAAGCGTGCGCAGGGTCGGCTTGCACGTATTGGCATATGCCTCGTTTTTGCAAAAACGATACCTCTTTCACTCAAGTGTGGAGGGAGGCAAAGGGGGAAGAGGCTCCTTCAAAAGTGCACCCTGGCCAACTTTTTAATTTTTTTTTTATTTTTTTATTGTTATTTATTTATTCTTTTTCCCCTTCCCCCTTATCATGTAGATACAAATACATATAAAATTGTGCAGCCTTATTTTATAGGACTGGTTGCACATACTTCGCTTCTGGCCCTGATGCCAGGACTTTTCGAATTTTCTTTTGTTCTGTTGCTTCAATTTGTGCTGGCTCAGCTTTGTTCTTACGAAGTGTGCGCAACAGGCGCAAACTGTGCTTATGTTACAAAAAAGATTTTAAAAAAATTGGCAAAAAAAAAAAAAAAAAAAAAAAAAAAAAAAAAAAA